CTTAGTGTGTGCAATCAGAGCCAGTAGCCGGAAGAATGGTACAGGGTTAGTGAGTCAGAGAGGGAATGTTCCGTTTAGTTCCTCACTGCATCAAATCTCTTAATGTCACTGTGCTTTGCAATGCTTTAAATACTATAAGCCAGTAAAATTTCTATAATTATATTTGAGAAAACTTAGAACTGTTTCAAGTTTTCTTTGTCTGATACAAACATTAGAAAAATACCATTGTACACCAAATTTTATTGAAATTTTCTGTATTCTATCAAATGTGTAAGAAGGTAATTTTACCAAGAAAGTAGTAAGCCTATTATTATCTTAAATAAGCAGTCTTTTCAACTTTCCTAACTTTTCTTTTAGACAAATACCTTATTGTTTGTGTTTTTCTCAATTTACCCTAGAGCCATGGGAACTGGGCCATGGGTGACTCTTGGAAACCAGGAATAGTTGACTATTCTGCACACACAGCATAAAGTAGTTCTCAGTGTTTGCCAAAGCTATATGCTAAGTGTATGCCAGAGAAGGAAGAACTTTCTACAATTTTACATGCTAAGGAAATGTTGAATGTTGAAATTTTTACAAGGTTGAAAAAGAAATGAATAAATAAAGTTACCATTAAAAAGAGAACAAATGTCTGGGCTGGAATATGGCTCAGCCTAAGGCAGCTGGTCTCCACCTTCCTAACGCCCATGGCCCTTTGATATAGTTCCCTAGTGTTGTGGTGACTCCCAACCATCACATTTTGTTGCTACTTTGTAACTGTAAATTTGCTACTGTTATTAATTAATGTAAATATCTGATCTGCAGGATAGCTGATATTCGACCCCAATGAGGTCGTGACCCACAGGTTGAGGACTTATGCATTAAAAGCATATACTACTCTTTACAGAAAGCCTGAGTGTGAATCTTAGCCCTTGTAGGGGAGGACTTACAACCTTCTTCAACCACAGCTGCAGGGGATCCAGTGCCCTGTTCTGACTTCCATCAGACCACACCTACACAGATAATTAAAAATAAGAACAAATCTGAAGAGAGGAGAGAGTAAGTGCCAGAGGGTAGTATGTACTTTGTTAAATACTGGACTGTAATCACTATATTTTATGGGGCTGCTAGCATATGGCTCAGTGGCAGAATATGCATTTAGCATGAGTAAAGCCTGTGTTCAGTCCCTAGCACCATAAGGTCGGTATGACAGAGGGAGGAAGAAAGAGGGAAGAATTTCATTCTAATGTAATCAGGAAAGAGCGGCAGGAATTGCTCGCTGTGTACCCTATACCGCTCTCCTGTGTAAGCAAAGCCAAGCAAAACTCTATGAAATCCCCAGATCTTGCTGTGTTTTTCTTTGCATGGAATGGTTCCTTTCATTCACCTCTGCCTCTGATTAGCCAATTTGTACTAACAATTCTTGAAGCAGTGATGCCATTATTTTTAGTTAATAGAGTCCCTCAGCATCTTTACTGACCAACATGCCTTGAAACCAAAAGGGTTAATTCAGTAAACCTTTGTAGCATCTGTGATTTACGTATGTTGTTTTGAACAGTTGCCTGAGACAGATGTGGAATTTTTTCATTTGTATGCCTTTACAATTCCAAAACACCTCATCAAAAAGAAGCAAATGTTTTCTTATTACTATTTTTAAAATTTACGTGTGAAGATGGCCATTTTCTTCTCTTCTCCTCCCATGTGAGTCCCCAGCTCTGTGAGCCTTGCCCTAGCCGAAGGGTTGGGGTCTTTGTTCTCTGGAAACTCTAATCTGAACTCCTGACCGTCACTGAGTAAAATGATGCCCAGGCGATGGTGCCCTGGAGACCCGGTGTTTCCCGCCAGGCACCATCTTTACCATTGATGGCCACTCACACAGCACATGGGAGGAGCGGGCACTCTGTTGGGTCACTGTAGGGACCAGAGTTGCGGCGAAACCCTTTCCGGTTTCCCCTTTCTGCCATTTCATGCAAGGGCACATGGCCACCTTTTGCAGGCTGCCCTTCCCACTGCTCCAGAACACTGATGGGAAATATGCTAAGTCAACCTCTACTGTTTTTGTCCTCAGGAAGTTGTGAGTGAGCTGTTCCTAGCATTCCCGGATACAGGCCCTTAGAGAGCAGCCAGGTTCTCCACATGCCATCTGTCATTTAGTGCTCATCTGGCAGCCTGCCGTGAGGGGAGAGGACCACTAAAATGCTGTAAAACATAGTATCAAGGAAACTTAGTCCAGGGAGCTACTCTAGAGACATGCATGCAGCAGAGGTGGAGCTGAAGCCCAGGACATTACGTAGCGTGCACAGTGCTGAGGAACTGGAAGATGCAGGGTTGGAAGAAACATGGGTGCTGCCCTCAGGAAGCCACACAGTTAACAGAGGGGAAGGAAAATGCACAGAAGTGTTCATATGTCCACGAGTCCTGTGATTAGAAACACAAAGGTGGCCAAGTGCAGAGCATTCTGTGGGTTACTTTTAAAAAAGGAATGTGTTAATTCTCTATTCCACAAGTAAAGCATAAGGTTTACTAGGTCATTGACGTGGCTAAACGTCGGTAAAATTATAAATCTCATATGAAGTATTTTGATGGGTATTTTCTTTTAATCAGAGACCTGAGTATATTTTTTAGTTTTGTGCATGGACAGTGAACCCACTGTCACGGCTACTTTGTCATTTTAACATAGGATTGGTGTCCGTCTCTGTGTATGTAGTATTCTAGGGGAAAGGCTGTGGTGTCCAGCAAATACATTTTTTTAAACAAGCTGTTTGGGTTTTTGTTTTTGTTTTTGAAGAAGAGTGTTGGTTTTGTTGTGGCCCTTTCACCTGATCTTCGTGTCTGCCCCATTCCTCTCCTCTGCTGGACCCTCTCCCCTCCCCCACACCCACCTACCATTCACTGTGTGGAGGTGTGGGTAGGTGGAGGTGTGCCATGCCACAGGACACAGGCAGTGTCAGAAGACAGCTTGCAGCAGCCACTTCTTTTCCTGGCCAAGGGATCCACCCAGGCCGCCAGGCTTCACAGCAGGAGCCTCTGTCCCTTCTGCTTTCAAGTCACAGGAGTCTGGTGCCCTCCCCTCCCAAAGACACCTTTTTCCTACTTTCACGGCTCTTTTCCCAGTTTTATGAGCTACACCCACACCCCAGAAAAGCACATAAAAATTAAAATCTAAGATCTGCATGTGAGAGAAAATGGGTTATTTGTTTTTCTAAATTTGAGTTACTTCACGTAACATGCCTTCCAGTACCATCCGTTTTCTTGCAAATGGCATAATTTCATTTTTTCTTTATAACCAAATAAAATTCCATTGTATGCATGTACCACATTTTGTTTACTAATTTCTTCCTCCAGATTCTTAATAGGTTCTATAGCTAAGAAGTTAAGAACTACCAGTACACTGAACTCGCCTGTAGACTGTGACTTACAGAACCTTTCCTTTTCACCTCTATTTCAAGCCATTCTGCTTCATAGCTGACATTTTCAGATTAAATAAGTTCTTTTTTGTGTCAGATATATTAAAGTTTATACACCACGTTCTTTTTAGAAAACAGATGGACTGGGCCAGTGAGATGGCTCAGCAGGTAAAGGCACTTACTACCAAGCCAGGTCACTTGGTTGCTAGTACTCATGTAGTAGAAGGCGAGAACCCTCTCCCAAAAGTTGTATCTGACCTCACATACACACACAGATAGATAGATAGATAGATAGATAGATAGATAGATAGATAGATAGATAGATAGATAGA